GCAGCCCCCCGCCNCCGCCCACCCCCCTGCCCCAGCCCGCGGGAAATTCGACGCTCTCTAGTTCGGGCCCCACCCGCCCCCCCGGCACCTGAGTAAAGTCCCCAGCCGCCGACCCAGAATTGCCGGGGGCGTTTCGGGTTCCCTGGGGTCCCGTCCGGCGCAGGGGGGGGGTGTCTGGGCGGGGTTCTGCCGCCGCCGGCGGCCGCGGAGCCTCGGGGCCTACTAGAACAAACTAGAACGGCTCTAGTTCCAGTATAGGGCTCCGGGTGCCCGGAGTTTCTAGCCACGATGCGAGACACAGTTACCGCGCCCGGCCTATCTGGAGGGGCCTCGGGGTGCGGGGGGGTGGTCGACACAACAGGGGGGGCGAGGGGGGTACAGTGGGCGCGCGACGGGCGGCCGGCGGGGCCGGCGGAGCCGGCGGGATTCCAGTTTAGGCCTCGGGTTCCGCTTTTCCGGTGCCGTTAGTAGATGCGGTTCTTGTTGAGCAGTTCGCTGATGTATTTCCTTGCTTGCTCGGTTCCTCGCCGCGGCCGCGGCCAGCCTGAGTTGTTGTCAGTTAGCCGCGGCGCAGGGAGGAATCGAAGGGAAAGGGAAGGGCCTAAGGTAGCGGAGCGAGGAACGAGAGCACGATCGGGAGGACCGGCCTAGTCGCCACGGCAGCCGCACACCATATGACCATACCATACCTTCTACGACGATCTTCTAGCAGAAGCTCATATAAAGAGGCTGGGTCGACGGGGAATCGGGTTGTTTCGACGGAACGACGGCCCTTTAAACGCGGCTGTGGTTTACCCCAAAATCGAGGTCTGCTGCGGGCCCCTCCGCGTGGCGGGAGCCGGCTTTACTCAGGCGCCGGGTCCCCGGGTGGGGTCCAAACTAGAAAGCGCCGTATTCCCCCGCGTTCGGCGCACGGTCGCGGGGGGCGCCTAGTCGCGAGCTAAGTTCCACACTTAGCTCTACTTAGTTCCGCTGGGTTTCTCTGCCCGGCAGGAGCGACCGCGACACTGCGTTTTTTTTACCCACCAGCTGCCTTTAATCTGTGCAGTTCCCCCCGCAACGCCCCCCCCGTATCAGCCGGGGGTTGGCCGCTCGTGCCGAGTCGACTGGTGGCCCCCTCGCCTGCCGGGGGCCAGCCTATGGCTGCTCGAAAGTGCGTGCGCTTCTCGAGAAGCTAGAAATGCTGGGGTTCGTGTATCTATGGCACTCTGCGTGTAGCAAGCGGGGATATTTTGAGAAGGCAGTGGCCTGATTTCCTGGAGATCTGTCGCATGCCAGATCATCCAATAGTTTCTGGTATCTTCGCTTTCCGTCCAAGAGTCTTGGGCTTGGATTTATCTTTGTCACGCAGGCTGATAACTCACCTTCCAAGAGTGCTCCATGATTGAAGCTCTGGTGAGGATGCGACATAATATTGGTTTCGAAGTAGTGAGGGGCTTAAATGAGGTCCGCGACATTCATGGGCATTTCTTCTATCTGCGTGTTATAGAAAGCTTCAATATCACGCATGTAGCGCACATCGCCCGATGTGAGGAAGTTGATGGCGACGCCTTTGCGGCCAAATCGGCCTGAGCGGCCTATTCGGTGAATGTAGTTCTCGCGATTTGTGGGGAGATCGTAGTTGATCACAA